AAAACCTACTACTTGAAAGCACAACAGGGTGACTATAGTCAATAAGTTAATGTACATTTTAAAATAACGAAAAGAGTGTAACTGGACTGTAACACAAAGGATAAATGTTTGAGGGGATAGATGCCCCATTCCCCATAATGTGATTAACATTGTATGTCTGAATCAAAACATCTCATGTACCCCATAAATATATACACCTACTATGTACTCACAGAAAAAGAATTTAAAAAAAAAATAAGTGGGGATTCGGCAGTCCCATATGCTAAATGCTAAGGAGCATAGGCAGCAATGACATATACATATATACTGTTTGTTACATATATATATTTGATACATACTCATACATATCGTATGTCTAATTTTAAGTACCCAAGGTGAGTAGATAGACCGTTTTGAAAGTGGCTCCCAGAGCCTGGGCGCGGTGGCTCACGCCTGTAATACCGGCACTTTGGGAGGCCGAGGCGGGCGGATCACGAGGTCAGGAGATCGAGACCATCCTGGCTAACACCGTGAAACCCCGTCTCTACTAAACATACAAAAAATTAGCCGGGCGTGGTGGCGGGCGCCTGTAGTCCCAGCTACTGGGGAGGCTGAGCCAGGAGAAGGGCGGGAACCTGGGAGGCGGAGCTGACAGTGAGCAGAGATCGCACCACTGCACTCCAGCCTGGGCGACAGAGCGAGACTCCGTCTCAAAAAAAAAAAAAAAAAAAAAAAAAAAAATGGTGGGGGCTCCCAGAAACCATGATGGCGCCAACAACCTTTCAAGAGGCAGTTAGCAGTTGCTGCTACCAAAGGTGGGGACAGCGGCCATGCACTCCATGATCCCCCGTCCCACTAGTTCTCACCCCGACTTTGGGAACGTATGGGGTCAGGGACGCTAAACGTCCTACAGTTCAGTTCCCCACAAACAACTGTCCTGAGCAAGCTGATGAAGGTCAACGGGTAAAATAGTCACAAACATTATTAGGGTTATTTAAAAGCGACAGCTTAATAATTCTCCCCAGATCCCTCCTATCACCAATACTGGTCCAACACTGGCAGAATTTAAACCCTGCCCCGCCCAACTGTAAACGTCCATGCGCCCACTACCACAAGGGTAACGCCTTAATCAAGAAACACGATGCCTTTCAGGATGCCAGCAGGGACTTCGGAGCCGTAGGTAACCGCACTCCCCCATCTCTCCCTGAAGAACCTCCGGTGTGTGGGCCCCCGCTGTGTCAGTGCTCGTTTTGCGCTAGGTCTGTTTGGGAGAGGGGAGTGAAATGTAGGAGGCTGGGCGTGCTCACTTCGCCTGGACTTGTTCAGGAGAGGCGGGCGACGGACCCACCGAGGCCCCAGATTCGGCAGCTGGCCGTCTAGTCGCCGCACTCCCCGTTGTGGGCCGGGGCCGCCCCACAGGTCCCCCCCAACTCTGAGGACCCTCCGCCTTCCCCGACACCTGAGGCTCCGACGACCTCTCCCATTTCGAGAGACTCCCTGAGGCATAACTGTCTCCGAGACCGCAGGGTGCGCCTTTTCTCCAGAATCGCCCCACCTGCTTTCCGGCTGCGCTCTTAAGAGCTTCCTCGTTGCCCCCTTGCCGGCGGCTCCTGAGGTTTGATGCTTGCGAGCGTTTTTATAGCCCCGGAGGCATCAGGGCGTGCGTCACGAAGTCCCGCATCACAAAGCTCCGCACGCACGCAAGGAGGCGGGGCCACAGCGGCTGCAGCCAATGGGGAGCCGAAAGCGACAAAGGCCGTAATTTGGCCGGCGAGAGAGGCTTGTTTCCCCACTTCTGGCTACACCTGAGCGGATTTAGGTGATTTCCCAACAAATGGCCAGGAGTAGCTCAAAGCGACTGCCTCTCGGTCTTTGGTCGTTGGGCCTAAAATTAGAGCTCTTTGGAAAGAAAGAAAGAGATTTATGGCAGTGCTGTTATGTCTCTACCTCGCAATTCCCCACACTGCTCCTGGCCCCATAAACTATAGCTCTCTTCGGTCACCTTTAGGAATAATTTCTGCCACGTTGTAGACTCAGAGTGAATAATTGTATGCAAAACAGCACTTTTTCTTTTGTGAAACTCGCCTGTGGAATGGGAGTTTAGCATGAATCCCGAAACTTCCTGTTTCTCCACAGTTGAGATCAGACACCAACTATCCCTACAAAGCCCACAGTCAAAAACAAGTCAAGGAGTTACTGTGTGTAACTTCAGCTCAATTTTTCCAAACTAAAGGAATGCCGCTTCATTTAAAAACGCCCACTTTGCCAGGTGCGGTGGCTTACGCCTGTAATCCCAGCACTTTGGGAGGCCGAGGCGGGTGGATCACGAGGTCAGGAGTTCAAGACCAGCCTGGCCAAGATGGTGAAACCCTGTCTCTACTAAAAATACAAAAAATTAGCCGGGCATGGTGGCGGGCGCCTGTAATCCCAGCTCCTCTGGAGGCTGAGGCAGAGAATTGCTTGAACCTGGGAGGCGCAGGTTGCAGTAAACCCAGATTGCGCCACTGCACTCCAGCCTGGGCTACCGAGCGAGAATCCGTCTCAAAAAAACAAAACAAACAAAAAAAAAAAACGCCCACAGTTTGCTCTTTCACTCATTTAGGCTCAGGTATTTGGGCTGGGCTCCAAATAACACCATAATCATGATTATCAGAGTACAAGCAGCCTTCATTTTGATCCATCTTCAAATGTTTAAAAAGCAACTACTTTAAACCAAAGAGCATTGCCAGGGCAGATATCTGACCAAAAGCAAAACAAAACAAAACAAAACCAACCAACCCCCTTCCCCAACCCTGCCCCAAAAAACCCACAAAAAAACAAAAACAAAAAAAACCCTGTTTTTTAATTCAGAAAAAAATAGGGCTTCCAGAGCACTTTGCAATAAAAGGCAATGTTAAGGCCTCAGTCAGCATTATCTAGTGCCATTCATTAATCCACTTAATAATTAGTACTGAGTGCCAGGCAAACTCCCTCTTCTCGGGAAGATTACATACTTAAAAAGGGAGAAATAGCAAGACTCCGTCTCACAAAAAAAAAAAAAAGGGAGAAAGGCTTTTCGACTGAGTGTGTTGGTGGCTCTGCAGATATTTTTCATCCTTCGTCACTGACCTACAGCACCACTTTGGTAATGTAAAAAAAAGTAAGATGAGGCCGTCATGATTTCTGATAGCTTGGTTTATAACACATGTAGCTGTCAGAGACATAATGAATGAGCTACTGAAAATCCTAAGTACAAACACTAAGACCTCATCTGTGGTGTCTTTTGGAATTGGAGACATTTATGGTTTTTAAACCTAACCTCGGTGGGTCATCTCAAACATCTATTCGGTGTAAGGTATTATGCGGAAATATCTGTAACTCAAAAAACAAGATTTTACTCTCTTCCTTTCTTCAATGACTGTTTGGCTGAGTCATTCTGAAATGCAAATTGTTACAATGAAAACATCTAACCAAGAATTTTCAAACCACTGCCCATCGGCTGCTTTGATTTCTTGAACTCTTAATGATTTCATGTGGTTTCACAATCTTGGCCTTCTGTTCATCTCCCTTTCAGTCACCAGTATGTTATTTTTTGGTCAACAGTGATTTAAAACGCAAATCTACCTTCTTTTCTACTGCCCCTCTGCCATACCCGAAATCCTTCCATGGTTGTGGGTGTGGTCTCTACATACCTCTCGTATTTCATCGATCACCATGTGATTCCCACTTGACGCTCCAGAGTCTTGAACACACATGAGGTTTGTCACCTCTGTGCTTTTGCTCATTAGGTCCAAGGCCTTGAATCCTGCTCCAGCAAGTGTTTTCACCTGACTGCATCCTGCGTATCCTTTATAACCCATCTCAGAAATCTACTTTAGGAAGCCAGTGGGTTAGCAGCATTCTCTCAGTGATCCCATGATGTATGCTTTATGACTTTATCCTTGCTATATAATTCTGCTTGTGTTTAACTCTTCTCCCAGATTTACTAAATCCTTAACAAAAGCTGAATAGGGCAATGTTTCTCTAATCCACATCACCTGCGTAAGAAATCGTCCCAGGAGCTTGTTAAAAATGCCTTCCCAAGCCCTACCTAGAACCTATCGAATCAGAATCTCTTCGTAAAACACGAAAATTGACAACCACTGGCCTCTAGGAGGAGGAATTAGGCATTACATAGAGGTCACCTGGGTTTCTTTTTTTTGTTTTTTTGGGTTTTTTTTGAGATGGAGTCTCGGTCTGTCCCCCAGGCTGGAGTGCAGTGGTGCAATCTCGGCTCACTGCAAGCTCCGCCTCCCAGATTCACGCCATTCTCCTGCCTCAGCCTCCCAAGTAGCTGGGACTACAGGTGCCCGCCACCATGCCCAGCTAATTTTTTTGTATTTTTAGTAGAGATGGGGTTTCACTGTGTTAGCCAGGGCAGTCTCGATCTCCTGACCTCGTGATCCGCCTGCCTCAGCCTCCCAAACTGTTGGGATTACAGGCGTGAGCCACCGCGCCCGGCTGAGGTCACCTGGGTTTCAAGTGTGTTGCTTCTATTTCATACCCAAGTCAACTAGGTGACAGAGCTCAGCCCCCTTGCTAGCTTTCACAAGAAAGCCAGTTAAATTGTGCTCTGCATACTTGACTGAAAAAGGAGCGTATCTGTTATGGACCAACTTTCTCTTGCTCCCCTTATCCTTTTCTCTTTCTGCATTTCCTCTTCTAGCTTCTAAAGAATCTGACTCGACTATATATCTTCTTGGATGATCTTGATTTAACAATTTTCTTTCTACAAAATATACCATCCGCAGAAACCAAAACAGTACATCATGATTTTGTGAATGTGTATCTTCATAGTGTAAAACCATATTTGAATACTTGCCAGCATGATTTGCTTAAGGAAGAAATCCACTGGAAAAGTTTATACAGCAAAGGTGTGTGTGTGCATGTGTGCATGCACGCATATGTGCTCATTTTAAAAATCAGATATGACTTGTCCTTTCACTTTAGTTGGCAGAGACAGAAAAGTGCGAATTCGGTAAATAACTGACTTACACAATATGTGACAATAAATACTCTAATTTTCTGTGACATCTAAAAGTTATAATTCTTTACTCAGTAGAAGACAGTTGTCAGGTGCTAAAATAAAGATACCTAACCCAGTAAAGGTAAAATCTTAGTTATATTAACCAGCAAGGTACATATTACATTATTATTACTAGACCATGCCTCCAAGTGTGTCAAATTATAAAAATGTGTTCAGCATACATAAAATATACATTAGAGATTTCTCTCATCATAGGCACAATCTAATACAAAAATATATTTGACATTTATAAGTTAGAAGATCCATTGAGAGCCTCCAAAATAGGACAGGGGAAGGAGTGAGTGATGACAACATAAAAAAAGAAGCACACATAGATGCAAATAGTTCCACTTATATGATTATTTTCTTCATCAGCAAAGGGTTAAGAGCAGGTTACACCAAACCAAGTTACCAAGCAGATCACAATCAGTTCACAGGTTGGATGAGTCACAGCACACAGGCCAGAAAATGTACTCAGACTTCAGTCAACCTAATGGGACGGTGTACTCACACTGTGGTTTTGTTGTTTTGGAGTCTAGAAGCTCCATCTACCCACTCTCCATGGTCTACCACCATGTTAACACAGATTTACCACAGGGGCCATCTGTACCAAGCCTAGGATGGATAGACTCTTTAAAAAAAAAAAAAAAAAAAAAAAGACTTGGCCAGTCACAGTGGTTCATGCCTGTAAGTAATCCCAGCACTTTGAGAGGCCAAGGTGGGTGGATCATGAGGTCAGGAGCTCAAGACCAGCCTGGCCAAGGTGGTGAAACCCTGTTTCTACTAAAACTACAAAAATCAGCCAGGCACGGTGGCAGGCACCTGTAATCCCAGCTACTTGGGAGACTCAGGCAGGAGAATCACTTGAACCCGGGCAACAGAGGTTGCAGTGAGTAGAGATCGCACCACTGCACTCCAGCCTGGACAACAGAGTAAGACTCCATCTCAAAAAAATAATAATAATAAAAACGAAGATTAAAAATTTTTTAAAAGACCTATACTTTGAGTAGTAAAGAAAACCTACAGGATGGTGTTGCAAAACGCAAAACTGTCTGTCCAGTTAAGTGAGCTGAACACAAACTAATCTGAAGTCCTGAACTCTCTGTGGGAAAATAAAAGTAGTTTTTTAAGCAGGCAGAAATTTTCTGAAAAAGATTCAAAAGCACAGGACCTTATATAATCTTTGAATGTGGAATAATAGCTCAAACAACATTTTGAACTGAAAATTCAAGAATGAACTCTCAAACAAAAACGTCACAATTCAGAATGCTCCACGATCATGACAGAAAAGCTTGTCACCTATGCTGCATGTTAAGAAGAGAGCAAAATGGCAAGAGCTGTATTTTAAAGATTCATAATGTTCTTCCCTTCAGTCTAGTTAAAACCAGATATCCAGGCTGGGCACGGTGGCTCACGCCTGTAATCCCAGCACTTTAGGAGGCTGAGGTGGGTGGATCATGAGGTCAGGAGATTGAGACCATCCTGGCTAACACGGTGAAACCCCGTCTCTACCAAAAATACAAAAAAAAAAAAAAAAAAAAAAAATAGCCGGGTGTGGTGGTGGGCGCCTGTAGTCCCAGCTACTTGGGAGGCTGAGGCAGGAGAATGGTGTGAACCCAGGAGGCAAAGGTTGCAGTGAGCCAAGATCGCACCACTGCACTCCAGCCTGGGTGACAGAGCGAGACTCCGTCTCAAGAAAAACAAACAAACAAACAAAAACCCAGATATCCAATATTTTTGGACACCAATTTTGCTCTTCAGAAAAAAGTTCCCTTCTCATTCACTGAATATAGGAGAGCAATCTCTTCTCTCTTACTATTATCTAAAACCCACACCAAATTCACATCAGGAAGAAAGTCAATGTGAATAAACATTTTGGAAACAGTCTACTGAAAAGTGGTCAGTAACAGAGATGAAGAAACATGAATATAGTTTAGCCAAAATCAGTGAGAATTAACTTCTTTCAAATAAATTATGGTTATTCCCTCAAAACAAGGTCAAATCAGATTAAATTTGCCAACATTTTACTTGCTTTTCTCATGTTTTATTTTGAAAATATTAAAATACTAATATGAGATCATGCTTCAGCCAAAAGAATTTGTAAATAAATGACACTCTAAAATGATATTCTTTAGCTCAATAAAAATGTCTTTAAAAATCTAACCTTAAACATTGAGCCAAATTATGGCAGAGATTCTTAAAAGTGACTGAGGTATTTAGATTCTTCAAAACCACAGGTTTGCAGTAGCGGGCATGGAGGTAAATTAAATGACAATAAAAATTAGCAATGAAGAATAAAAAAATAACTTTGAATTCCTTTTATAATATCTAAATAACCTGAGCTAGGGGGAAAATGATTAAATCCTGGCACGGTGTAGCCCAGCAAATGTTCCACCAGCAAATATTTTGACGCCAAAATCTATGTTCATTCACGAATAACTTTTTCAAATAATAATGTCTCAAAAGATTTCCAAAAGTTGGTAATTCGACAATTTTCACAAAGAAAGGTAAACTCCCAAAATGTAGATACTGTTTGTCTAATCTATAGACTAGGCTAATAGATTAGCAAAAGAGTTACACTTTTAGTTGTAAAATTATCTTCTATTAATATTTGCTCTTACTTGGTTGGCTTTCAAAGGAAAAAGAGTGTCCATCGCTTTGAAACATTCTGTAGACAATCTGGAGATGAGTATTTCTGGTAACGTAACTTCAGCTGAAGATTTTGTTCTTTTAATAAGTAAAACACGGAATTCTGGCCTATTAACATTAATTATTTTTACAATAAAAGATCAGTCAGTTGGTGGTTAGGAGATCTGCTTTCTATTCATTGCTCTGCTGATAACAGGAATAATTAATTGTGATAAGTCAATTCACCTTTTTGTGCCTGAGTTTCACTGTCTGCAAAATGGGGTTAATAATATCTGTGCTATGTTATTCACCAGGGTATTCTGAGGATAAAGTAAAACACTAGAAAGCACTTTTATTTTTTCAAAACACAAATATAAATGCTATGTAATAATATTGTTAATAATTTTACAGGTACCTCGTAATGTTATCCATTCAGATATGTGCTTAAGGTAGGTGTTCCTACAGGATCTCGGGTTGGATGTTTCGTTTGATTTTATTTTAAAAATAATAAATCACAAAACTAAAACGTTTGAGCAAGGTCACTTAACCCTCTCCCCAGGTGGTTAGTTGTTATTCTTACCATCATCATCCTCCTCATCATTATTACTTTTTAGCTACATGTTTAAAAGAGGAGATCTTTAATATGTCAGCTTAACTGGGAAAATGTGTCCCTGGCACAGGTGGTTTTCAGAAGAAAAGCCGATCTTCACAAGAGCTTTGTCCTCTGCTTTTATTTTAAAGTGCGGACCCTGGGTGGGGAGGGACAGAGCGGGTGTTCCGGGTCTGTCACTGAGGAACCAATTCCCTCAGAGAGGCCAGAGCAGCATGGATGCGGACATGCAATCTGTTTTCAAAGTCGTAGCCAGAGAAATCCTCCTGTAAGATCAAAGAAAGATATGTACGCACTCTGTTAGCTAAGCTTGCACAGGGTACTGTGGTATAAAGCACACTCAGTTTTGTACTTCCCAAAGTAAAATCTCTACACTCCCAGTAAAGGCTTCCCATGCACTTGATTTTCATATTACTCAAACCTCAAACTTCATATTCATTTTTAAAAACATCAATTGAATGTCAATAATGTTCTCTTTGGACAATTTTCCTCGTGTTATTCTTGAAAAGGTAGTCTTACGTTGTGCTCAATATAAGTTACTATTAGAAATTCTTATTTCAGGGACATAGTTATAAAAGCAGAAGTTATCTTCCCACCCAAACACTAAGAATGTTTCTAAAGCAGGATGAACAATTTCATCTGAGTTCCTTATGATCTTGTAATGTCCCTTAAAACTCAAGAGCTCATGGATTCAATTGGTTATCATTTTTCCTTTCCAGAAATATTACCAACCAGAACATCACTGCACAAACTTTCTAGAATTCAGACTCGGGTATACACTGTATGGGATAAGAAGGGCCACTGGAGAAAGGTAGATTCAGGATATTTACCTTTGCTTGAAGAAGTAGAGTTCTGCCTCTTCCTACAGTCTATAAGAAAAACACATTATCCCTTAAAATCTGTGTTTATATATACGCAGGCAGAAAATGGTATAATAGGAGGCTATGTTAATTAAAACAATTCACCATTGACACAGCAGAGTCAACTGTTCTTTCAAGTATAATGACTCCAACATCCTTTTTTGTTGTTGTTGAGATGGGAGTTTCATTCTGTCGTCCAGGCTGGAGGGCAGTGGCATGATCTCGGCTCACTGTAACCTCTACCTCCCATGTTCAAGCAATTCTTCTGCCTCAGCCTCCTGAGTAGCTGGGAATACAGGCACCTGCCACTATGCCCAGCTAATTTTTGTATTTTTAGTAGAGACAGGGTTTAGCTCTGTTGGCCAGGTTGGTCTCAAACCTCAAGCGATCCACCCACCTTGGCCTCCCAAAGTGCTGGGATTACAGGTGTGAGCCATTGTGCCCAACCCCAATATTTTTTAATATAAAATTGTTTATTTGTTTACATGAGGACATTCCTTGATATATAATTACTTAATTTTTCATAGTCTATAAAAGGCAACCTCTAAGATATAATATCTTAGGTTAACATCTTACTAAACAACCTTAAAATTAATGATTATCAAAAAGTTTTATCTGAGTCAGTAAGTTATATAGCTATAAACTTTATTTATTTATTTTTTGAGACAGGGTCTTGCTCTTTTGCTCAGGCTAGAGTGCAGTGGCACAATCATGGCTCACTACAACCTCAAACTTCAGAGATCCTCTCACCTCAGCCTCCAGGTTAACTGGGACTACAGGCACATGCTACCATGCCTATGTTTTTTGCTTTTTTTTTTGGAGACACGAGATTTCACTTTGTTGCCCAGGTTGGTTTTGAACTTCTGGGCTCAAGTGATACTCCCGCCTCAGCCTCCCAAACTGCTGGGATTACAGGCATGAGCCACTGAGCCTGGCTATATTTTATCTTTTAAAAACTGTATTTTTACTGTACCTTTTCTATATGTAGATACACAAATACTTACCATTGTGTTACGGTTGCCTACAGTATTCAATACAGTAACATGCTATACACAAGTATAGCCCAGAAGCAACAGGCGATACACACAGCCTGGCTGTGCAGGTGATACCACCTGGGTTTGTGTACGTACCCTGAGATGTCTGCACCAAGAAGGAATCGCCTAACAACACATTTCTCAAAATGTCATTAAGAGATGTATGACTGTCGATTGAATTCTAGGCAAGAAATTACCTTATTAAAGATAGTAAGGTACCATTACTAACTTCTTGGACTCATTCTAAGTAAAATCCGGGAAAACAAAATGAAGAACACTGTGTTTGATCTGTTTGTTTTAAATGAAGGGTGCTTTGTGCTTGCTCATTTCTACATTTTTGTTGATGAACATTTTTTATATATATATATGTATATATATGTGTGTGTGTATATATATGTGTGTGTATACGTATGTGTGTGTGTGTACCGATGTATACACATACACAAGACCTTACCTCTGGTTTGTCTAATAGAAGACAGCCAAGTTCGTAACAGGCATACGGCTGAACATATAAGTTATTCTGACGACACAATTCATCTTTAACAGCTCGCTGGAAGTACTAAAAGGAATGCAAATGTTATTGGATGAATTCATTTTCCAACTTAGCATAGGGCTTATTACAATCTTCAAGAGGGGGCGGGAAGGGGGACTCATACTCTGTTTTCTAGATCAGATTTTTTCTTCTTTCCTCATCTTCATTCTTTCCTATCTACATCTTAGAAGTCCTCTACATGCTGCCTGATGTGCATTCCTCAGAATATATTGGACTGTCTCATTTGTGCTACTATTTTTCCAGGGGACATATTAGCCTCTATTGATTTTATCACTGAGAATACCTTTATCTGCATCTAAGAGTCTAAACATCCCATTTTAATATTTAAAACAGAAAACACACAAGGCAACTATGATCTCTTGACATGCGTCCTGACTGTATCTTGGTAGCACATAAGGATTTGATCTAAAATAAGCTATTTTGGGCTGTAATAACTATCATAAGCCCATGCTGAAAGATTAAACTTACAAGGGCATGATCTTCTAGGATTTAAAAGCCAAAAGTCTCCTATTACTGTACATTAATTCTTTTTTTTAATCTTTTTTTCTGAGATGGAGTCTCACTCTGTCACCCAGGCTGGAGTGCAGTGGCGCAATCTTGGCTCACTGCAACCTCCGCCTCCTGGGTTCAAGCAATTCTCGTGCTTCAGCCTCCCAAGGAGTTGGGATTACAGGTGCACGCCACCACGCCTGGCTAATTTTTGTATTTTCAGTAGAGACGGGGTTTCACCATGTTGGCCAGGCTGGTCTCAAACTCCTGACCTCAAGTGATCCGCCCACTTTGGCCTCCCAAAGTGCTGGGATTACAGGTGTGAGCCACTGCGCCCAGCCACTGTACACTGATTCTTTCAAAGAGTAGTCAAACTAACACTGATACATACTTCTTCAAAACCACCAATCAAACAAAAAAACAACTTGCTCGCCCCCCAGGGCTGCATCAATAATCTGCAGTTATAAAGAGAGAAAACTGAACGCACACTGACATGTCTGATCCTTTTCGTTCTTGTCTAACTATGAGGCTTCATTCCACTCCTTCAAAACTGTCTGCCTCCTCGTGTCCTCCTCTCTCCAGTGGAGACTGTCATCTTTGATAAATACTAGTGCCAGAAAAGGAGGCCATATATAAAGAAGCATTCTAAGAATCTGAAGTTAATGAAAAACTAGTATTAACCATCATCAACTTCTAGCATCTGAGAAGATGGCATTAATCAAATCAATTGGATAAAGTTTATAGTGGGAGGTTCGGTTTTGTTTAGTGCTTTTTCATTTTTCTTCTTCACAAGCCCATACGTAGGTGTTCGTGACTTATTTTCTTTAGCCCTGACAACATTAACCGTTTACCTGAACAGCATCTTCTGAGTTTCCTAGACATTTGTGTATGGCACCAAGAAGCAAATACTTTAATCCAACAACAGATGAATCATCCACTTCATGGCAAGCTTTAAAAGAAGGGGAGTGAACAGAGCAGTAAGGAAATGCATTCACTTAATTTCTTCAGTATCGTGAAGAGTGAGGTGAACGTTTCAGTTCACGTTTCTGCCCTCTGAAACTCAGAAGGTGCCCATTCTTCATCCATTAGTGAGTAGCCTTTGTCAAAGAAAGGCAAAAATACCAAACTTCACAGAGCCAAGAAAACTCAAATTGCAACACATTATTACCTCGTGAAAAACACCCATCTGAAAAGGCTACATCCTGTATGATTCTATCAACTATGAACTATATGACATTCTGAAAAAGGTAAAACTATGGAGACAGTAAAAATATCAGTGGTTGCCGGGGGTGAGGGGAGATGGAGGGGTGAGTACGTAGAGCAGAAAGAATTTTTAGGGCAATGAAAGGACTGTGTGATATCATCACAGTAGACACATTATTATACAATGGTCCAAACCCTACTGTTTGTTTGTTCACTGAGTGAACCCTACTGTGAACTATGGGCTTTGGGTGATTATGACGTGTCAGCGCTGGTTCACAGACTGGAACAAATGCACCACACTGATGTTGGTAGTTGGGAAGGACAGGGGGAGGGAGGAGCTTGTGGGGACTCTGGACTTTCTGCTTAATTTTGCTATGAACCTAAAACTGCTCTAAAAAAAAGAAGTTCTGTTAATTTCTTAAAAATGACTTCACATTAAATTGCCATGCCATAGGCACCTTTCCATGTTTGTACGAGTTACTGTACTAGTCCATGGGAGAGGAGCAGCACTGACCCTTCACTTCAACAGCAAGCTGTGGAGGATTGACGCATAGGTTAGAGAATGTTATGGGAGCTTTCTAAGAAAAAGAGAAAGATGCAGAACGGAAACATGATGGGGCTGATGAGGAAGAAAGGAAGTAATACCATTATTTCCAAAGACTAATAAAGATACTGAGATTCAATAATATATATCTTACTATTTTATATATAAATATATATTTATATTTTCTATTATATATATGTATACAGAGAGACAGAGAGAGAGAGAGAGAGAGAGAACTGAAGTTACAGAACAAGTAACTCAAAGGTGAGAGGAGGAGGTAAATGTGAGAATAGAAGATGATCTTGTAGAAGCAGGAGTCACCCCAGAAAGCCAGGCTAGGAATACGCTCATACGAAAAAGAACTCAGGGACTCTTAAGGCAGCAACATTAAGGAAACCTTAATGCAGTTCATTCACTTGTTCATTCATTCATTCATTACACTAATTCATTCATTCAATATTTATTGAGCACCTACTATTTGCCAGGCAATTCTAGGTGCTTAGAATACAATGACAAAACAAACAAAAAATTCCTTCTCAGAGAGAACAGCAAGTGCAAAGGCACAGGAGCCAGGTGTGTCTGAGAGCAGAGAGGAGGACCGTGCTGAGGAACGGGGAAGAGCAGGGAGGGACAATGGCCTCGGGGGTTACAGACTGGGAGCACTGCCTGCCGCTGAATAGACTTGGGTTTTTGTTCTGAATGAGATGAGAGACCATAGAGGATTCTGGGAAGCAGAGTGACACAACATGATTAGGTTTTAATAAGATCACTCTGCCTGCTACGCCTAGAATACAAACATGTTTACAATGTAGCTGGGCATGGTGGCTGCACGTAATCCCCATACTTTGGAAGACCAAAGCGGGAGGATCACTTGAGCCCAGGAGTTGAAGACCAACCTGGGCAACATGGCAAGACCCCATCTCTACAATTTTTTTTTTTTTTTTAATAGCTGGGTGTAGTGGCATGCCCCTGTAGTCCCAGCTACTCAGGAGGCTGAGGTTGGAGGATCGCTTGAGCCAGGGAGGCAGAGGTTACAGTGAGCCATGATCACGCTACTGCACTCCAGCCTGGGCAACAGAGCATGACCCTGTCTCAAAAACACAAAACACAAACAACAACAAAAAACAATGCAGAGAAAGAATGCAGTGGAGAAGGGCAGGTGGGTGGGGAAAGGTTATGGATGAAACAACAAGGATATAGGATTCTCACTAGTTCTGCTGGTACAGGGAGCTATGGATGGGGACTCCGATAAGCTAAATGCACAAAACTGGGAGGGCACGATGCAGAGTTTAATAAATGCTTATGATCCACATTGCCACTATTGTTTTTTTCTGGAACATAACTTTCTCTACAAAGATCTTCATTGTACTGTATGTGGTTGATCAGTTTGTACCATTATCGATTACCATTGAGGAATTATATAATCTAATTAATAGACCTCAGAACTGGGTTAAATTTAGCAAAGATACTAGAGAATTGTCTCATGCTCACTTCAGATACGGTCTGTCTTCCCTTCCAGGCCCACATCTTTGTTGTTAGTTTTTTTCATATTGATACCTGGAAAGGGGTTCAGAGAATATTTTGTCAAATCTCACTTAACTGGTAATTGTTCTTGTGAATGTTAATTACTGCCTACCTTATATTTGTATTTTATCTCTAAATATGTGATCCGGTACTTGCGTATTAAAAAATACTTAATATTCTTCATTGTTCCTTTGAGTTAGGCATTTAAAGATGTTCTATACTTGCTTCAATAGGAAGGGAGGGGTTTTGAATTATGCAACTCCTTTAAAAATAAATATAGTAGCCAGGTGCAGCAGCACACGCCTGTAATCTCAGCTACTCAGGAGACTGAGGTGGAAGGACCACTGGAGCCCAGGAGTTTGAGGCTGCAGTGAGTTATGAACACACCACTGCACCCAACCTGGGTGACCGTATGAGACCTGTCTCTAAAAATTAAAAAAAAAAAAATTAAAAAGAACATAGGAGAATTTGACACATCCAAGAAAAATGTTTCCTTGCTAGTTCCTCCCTGGGAGGGTTATACATCTACTCGAATTACAGGGCCAGTGTACAAGACTTCTTAAGGAGTTTTGTTCCTTTGATCTCCAGAATAGCAACATTGGCAATTGGCAATGTTTGTTTTCACAATTGAGGAAGGACCTTTTTTTTTTCTTTTCCTTTTTTTTTTTTCTTAAAAGAAATAGGCAAAAGGGATTTGCAGGAAGTCTGATGATAAAAATATATGGCTCGATGGATCATGCTCTATTTGGTCAAAAACAAGAGTAACTGGAGAAAAATCTGAAAAATTTTCTACAGTGGCTTACAAACTATTTCTGGAATATTATGTCTAAACTGTCAATACTAAGTTTCTTGGGAAAACTCACCACATATATGAATAAGAACATATTTATTTTTTTTTTCCTTTTTTCTTTTGTAGGCAGGATCTCACTCTTGTCATTCAGGCTGGAGTGGTGGAGCATGATCAAAGCTCACTGCAGCCTCGATATCCTGGGCTCAAGTGATCTTCCCACCTCAGTCTCCCAAGTAGCTGGGACTACAGGTGCACACCACCACACCCAGATAATTTTTGGTATTTTTAGTAGAGACAGGGTTTCACCATGTTGCCCAGGCTGGTCTCAAACTCTTGGCTCAAGTCATCTGCCTGCCTTGGCCTTCCAAAGTGCTGGGATAACAAGTGTGAGCCACCCCACCAGGCCACGCTTTAGTATATTTTGATTTATGTGAATCACACCTAAGGGAAACAAAGTACTTTCATGGGGGAAAATAAAATGTATGCTCCCAGCAACTCCCATAGCTACAGAATTAATAACATTTATAACAAAAGCATCACATGTTTAAGGCAAGCATATCTGTCCACAGCAGTGCCGCCTCCTCCTCCCATCACCTAAGTGACAGGATTTTCTTCATCACGACACCCTCTAAGAAGGAGAGATGTGTCCTCTCCCTGAATCTGATGAGACAAATGCGAGATAACTGGGAAACTGAAGAATGCAGCACTGGCAGAAGAAGCCAATGTGTCCAGTAGACAGTTTTGGGTTTTTAAACATTTTTTACCTTGACTCATCCTCTGCAGGTTGGGGAGGGAACAGTTTGGAAGAGCCTTCCACAAGTACAACACTTCAATGGACGCCAACACACAGAGTGCTTTGGTTGGGGTTTGCTTCCGAAATCGCTCTGCCTGTAAGGAGTTAGAATAAACAGGCAACATTTTTCAAAAACAAATTCAAATAAAAAATACACCTCGGACACTTTAAAAGCACACAGTTCATCATCAATGTGAATGACCTTCTCCTTCAAAGCTAAGACTAACAATTCCTCTCTCTATAAAAAATGTTGCTTTCAATTTTTGACATACAGGAAATTATGCCTTTCATTCATTAGTCAACTGAAGCTACTCTCAAGATGCAAGGCAGGGCCAGCCGTGGTAGCTCACGCCTGTAACCCCAGCACTTTGGGAGGCCAAGGCAGGCAGATCACCTGAGGTCAGGAGTTTCAGATCAGCCTGACCAACATGGAGAAACTCCGTCTCTACTGAAAATACAAAATTAGCTGGGTGTAGTGGTGTGCGCCTGTAATCCCAGCTACTCGGGAGGCTGAGGCAGGAGAAGTGCTTGAACCCGGGAGGCGGAGGTTGCGGTGAGCCAAGATTGCGCCGCTGCACTCCAGCCTGGGCAACAAGAGCAAAACTCCGTCTCAAAAAAAAAGATGCAGGGTATATTCTGAAAACTTGGGGATGAAACTAGATTTACGTGCATTTAGATCGATGGAATTTATAAAGCTTGGTGACAGCTAATAATTCAATGGGCTTACACACACCTAAGGAACTAAGACTAGATAGATGCCTTTTAGTCACAGTTCTCTTGTTTTTAAATTTTTCTACTGAGTGCCAGTGCTCTCAGCTGTACATTATAGTCTAATTTATATTCAAAAGCTTCATTAAATGTTCATTCAATAAAAACATATACAACTAAAATAACTGATAATTCAGGATATAAGACACTATGTAACTCAAGGTAATACAGCAAAATTGTATTCACAAAAGTACAGAATACATTAGGAACGCTGTCTCTACAGTCTTGGGCCTTTCTGCTGGCAACTGGGACACTGTGACACACACTTTTGCTTTTTATTACATCAAAATGCAATGTGTTCTCTATTCTCAACCCCAGACAGCCTGCATTTCTCACTAGGCCCTGCCAATTTGTATTCTTCCAAAACCAACTAATTCTTTAGACAGATCCTTTCTCTTAGTGTGTTCATTAGCTCTGAAGAATGTATAATGTCTCCATTCATTAAAATAATAAAAAAAAAACTATACTCCAGTTACTCTTCAGATCATATATATCTTTCACCTTTTGCTAAAAATTTCCATGAAGGGGAACCATTTTGGGTCTTAACCCAATTGTTTGAGGCCCTGTACCTGCAGGGCTAATCGATTTTTTAAAAATCTGCTTTCATTATTTGCAGCAAGGTAAGAATCTTCTATTCAGAGAAGATGTACAATCATGGAGAGCATCCTCTCCATGGCGGTGAACTGCACTTGACATGGTAAGTAAATAGGCAGCCTTGAATATAATTTCCTAAAGCTTGCCAAGGCAGTGTTGGTTACAAATGCCTATCATAATACAACAGGCTCCAACATACCTTTTTCACCGAGAACTGTTCAATCTGATTGTTTTTCCTTTTGAAGAGTTTCTGAACTTCTTTAAAGACAATCTGCGCCCCGTCCACATCACCAGTGGCTCCCTGACAAACTGTAAGAGACCATAATGATATTTCTTAAATATAAGTCAGGGAAAATGCCATAAGGGATATCTAAAGTGATGATACTTGAAAAAGAAAGAAAGAAACCGGAGCAAATATGTTTAAAGACTATTCCACAACAGGCTGGACGTGGTGGCTCACGCCAGTAATCCCACCACTTTGGGAGGCCAAGGTGGGTGGATCACCTGAGGTCAGGAATTCGAGACCAGCCTGGCCAACATGGCAAAACCCCATCTCTGCTAAAAACACAAAAATTAGCCAGGCGTGGTGGCACATGCCTGTAATCTCAGCTACTTGGGAGTCTAAGGCAGGAGAATCGCTTGAACGTAGGAGGCGGAGGTTGCAATGAGCCAAGATGGCACCACTGCACTCCAGCCTGGGCGACAGAATGAGACTCTGTCTCAGAAAAACAAAGAAACAAACAAAAAGACTATTCCACAAAGGACTGCACCATCCTGCTGATCACTTCAACTATTTTCTAGGTGCCTGTGTTCCCAGAGCTTTTGGGGGGCTTGGGGAAAGCCATGGTCCTTGTCCTTTTGTTGGGGAGACAGTTTTTCACATAACAAAGTCCTTAGCTACTGTCACAGAGTACAACCTAGTTAGGGCTCGCATTTATTCAGAAAGTGGAATAAATAGGAACCTAGGAAAGAACAATGAAGAGCCCAGAGGATCATGAAAGCTTCATGGTGGAAGGAGGATTTCTCTGTCCTAGGAAGTCATCTATCTGCCCTGTCCATGTTCCCTGGCTGCCTACTACCTACAAGCCACCAACAAGAATGTGAAGAAGAAACATGTGTGCTTGAACCCTAAAGAAACTGACATTTCAATTGAAGAGATCACACACGCACCCAGGGTCCCACAGGCTGCAATGTATGTAGTGATAGCGGTAGTCAGGGTAAGGAAAACCAAAGTGGTTTCTAGAAGGCTCAGAAAGAGAAGGGATCATTTCTCTCTGGAGTGACCAGACGCTGTAAGGAGCTAGGAGAAGTCAAGCGGAGTCTTGAGGAATGAGTGAGATTTTGTTCATGTGCACACCTTCTTCTCACCTCATGCCCCAAAGATTTAATGATCTTCCCTTTGCTATGTCTTCTTGGTCCCTTATGTAAACTTTGCACTGGCTGCAGCCCCACTACCTGATTGAAACTCTACCACAACTCTGTCCTTTCCTCTCAACTCTGATGGTGCGGAATCCATTTCTATTCATTTTTGTTAGATCACATGTGGTTTTTCACTCCCCAGTTGGAATGTACTAAAGTTGATTTGCTAGTTGCCCCTTCCTTTTTTTTTTTTTTTTTTTTGGAGACGGAGTCTCACTCTGTTGCCCAGGCTGGAGGGCAGTGGCGTGATCTCGGCTCACTGCAAGCTCCGCCTCCCGGGTTCACGCCATTCTCCTGCCTCAGCCTCCCAAATAGCTGGGACTACAGGTGCCCGCCACCAGGCCCAGCTAATTTTTGTATTTTTAGTAGAGATGGGGTTTCACCATATTGGCCTCTTAACCTCATGATATGCCTGCCTTGGCCTCCCAAAGTGCTGAGATTACAGGCATGAGCCACTGTGCCTGGCCAGTTCCCCCTTCTTTACTTGAGCACCCCTAAAAGTAGGTTGGTCCCGTACTCGCATTTGGGCATGGTCAAGCAGTCACCTATCCCAGGCATGCACGTACCAGGACAGGCTACCATCGGCAGAGCCCAAGGGTTCAAGAATTGAGGCTCGGAGAGAGCCGAGGACAGGAAGACAATGGGAAAGACAGCAGGTTCCAACTGGGATTAAAAGTGATGAGGCTGAATATTCAAAGGAAGGGACAACTCCTTTCCCAGTCACTGGGGCATCCCTGATCCAGATGGAGGAGAGTGCACCAATCCAAAATGACCTTATCAATTGCAGCTGTAACATTTCCAAACCAGAATGAAGCTCAGTGGCTGTATTGTGCAACCAACTCCCTTATTTTTAGATCAGAGGATGCAAAGGTCTGGAAAAGCTGAGCAATGCCTACGGTCACACAGTAAATCAATGAAAAATTATATATTTCTGCTGTCCCTAGCTTGAGGTCTTCCTCAGATCATTGAGAACATTCTTATAGAGTCACATAATTAAAACCAGTCATAAACAGCAACAGTATCTGAACCACCCCAAAGGTCTATAACATCCATACCTCAGACCCTGAAGAACAAACACCACCTATTTCTCTTGCAGTAAAATTATAGATAGTTGGTTTTTTTTTTTTTAGATGGAGTTTTGCTCTTGTTGCCCAGGCCGGAGTGCAATGCCACGATCTTGGCTCACTGCAACTTCTGCCTCCTGGGTTCAGGCAATTCTTCGGCCTCAGCCTTCCGAGTAGCTAGGATTACAGGCGTGCACCACCACACCTGGCTAATTTTTTATTTTTAGTAGCGACAGAGTTTCTCCATGTTGGTTGTTGGCCGGGCTGGTCTCAAACTCCCGACCTCAGGTGATCCACCCACCTCGGTCTCCCAAAGTGCTGAGATTACAGGGGTGAGCCACGGCCCCCAGCTAGATAGTTGCTTTAAAAGATGCAGATGTTTAAAAGCATGGGAGTCTCTGGTTTATCCTAAAATATGAGGCCTAAACTGAGCTTAGGATGACTTACTCTTCCAATAAGACTAAGTGTACACAATCCTATATGTGATATTCTAATATTTATTGGTAACTTATAATTTTGATATAATGTCAAACTTACAGAAAAGTTGCAGGAATAGTAGAGGTATATGATCACGCAAATCTACTTCCAGGTATCTACCCAAAGGTACTGAAAGCAAGGACTGGAACAGATACCTGTAGACCAATGTTCCAGGTGAGTACTCCACACAATAGCTAAACAATGGAAACAACCCGAATGTCCGTCCATGAATGAACGGATGAACAATGTGCCATATACATACAATGGAATATTATTCAGCCTGAAAAAAGGAAGGAGATCCTGACACATGTTATAACACGGATGAACCCTGAAGACATTATGCTAAATGAAATAAGCCAGACACAAAAGGACAAATATATTTCACTTATGCACGAGGTAGGCAGAATACTTAAATTCATAGAGACAGGAAGTAGAAGCATGGTAACCAGGTCTTGGGGGAAAAGTGAATGGGGAGTTCCTGTTTACTGGGTAGAGCTTGGGATGATGAAGAAGTTCCAGAGATGGATGCTGGTGATGTTTGCAAAACAATCTGAGCGTTATCTGGAGTTACTGACACATACACCTAAAAAAGTTCAAATGGTAAATGATGCTACATATTTTATCACAATTTTTAAAAGTACAAAACTATTGACATAGTCGCACAAAACATTAATATGCTGGGGAGCTAAGCCCTGGTGGCAGTGTTCGGAGCCCCTGAGTGCCCATCCCCTCTAGCTCACCGCCAGCCCAAATGGCAGCTCCTGCATGACGGTATAACGGTGCTCCTTCCCTGCCTCATGTACTTTTTGGTTTTTTTTTTTTTTTTGAGACAGAGTCTCACTCTGTTGCCAGGCTGGAGTGCAGCGGAGCGATCTCAGCTCACCGCAACCTCTGCCTCCCTGGTTCAAGCGATTCGCCTGCCTCAGCCTCCCAAGCAGCTGGGACTACAGGTGCGTGCCACCACGCCTGGCTTATTTTTGTATTTTTAGTAGAGACAGGGTTTCACCGTGTTGGCCAGGATGGTCTTGATCTCTTGACCTCGTGATCTGCCCGCCTTGGCCTTGCCTCATGTACTCTTTCTAGTGGAGCTATTCACCCACATCTTATCCTATCCACAAAATCCCAGTGCAGAAACAGAGATCAGAATCCTTCATGCTTATCCTCTCCTATGGCTGGTATGGTTCTGGGATTTCCAAATATTGGGGGGGAATAAATGTTCCTCTATACAGCCACACTGTACATTTATGTATCTGAAACTCAACAGAGATGGAAACAATAAATAGCTGTCCACCATCGACTGTGCAGCCTAATTACACCTAACGGCTGCTGAGTTGTGTGCAGGCCTCTGTTTTCTGGGCTATTCAATCTGGGTTCATCAACTCTTCAACATATTAAACACAGTCACTCAACAAATAGCTGCTACTTTCATCTGAGATGTCTTCAAATTCTATACAACAACCCTTTAAGTGTGAGGCACAGCATATTATCCAGGATATGAAAAATAAGCTTATTCAAACATCAGGGACAGAGCCATGAGATCACACCTGTCAACAGGGACTGCAATGAGGAATATGGACACAAGCGGGCTTTGCACTGATGCTAATGGACCGATGCAATTTTATAGGGAATTTAAGATATCCAGAATATACTTATTGGTCAATGTTAATCAATTCTATCTTATTTTAAATATATCAGTTAAGAGGGCAGAATGGAAGTGGAAGATGGTTCATTAAATCTGAACGTTAAGAATAAGAAGATATTGAAAATAATGATTGGATTAGTCTTGAATTTTAAGTAAAAGAACCACTGATGTGGCTGCATGAGGAGGGTTCATTACATACACCAGAAATGGCTTACATGAAGTTGCTTTAAGGCAGAAAATGTACAACCTCTCGGCTTTCTTCAATTCCACACCTCTACAATTCTTAATCACACGGCCCTTTAGGTATTGAAGGATGCAGACAACTACTTTGGCCACCAGGTGACAGCACATCTCTATCTCCTCATACAAGGGCAAAAAAACCCTTATTCAAAACAGAATACAGGTGTTAATAACGATATGCAGTGTAAATACCTTGCATCTGAAATATCACACTGTAAATACAATAAGGTTAGGAGGTAAAACAAGGTTGGAGCAGATGACTCTGACCTATGCAACTCTGTAACCAGGGCACTAACCAAACAAAAATATTAACACAGGTCAGGCTCTGTGGCTCATGCCTGTAATCCCAGTGCTTTGGGAGGCTGAGGCAGGAGGATTGCTTCAGGCCAGGAGTTAGAGATTGGCCTGGGCAACATAGCAAGACCTTGTTGCTACAAATTTTTTTTTTTAATTGGCCGGGCATGGTGAGGCACGCCTGTAGTTCCAGCTACTGTGGAGGCTGAGGCAGGAGGATCACTTGACCCTGGGAGGTTGAGGCTATAGTGAGCTATGATCAGACCACTGCACTTCATTCAACCTGGGAAGAAGAGCAAGACCCAGAATAATAATTAAAAAATTAACACAACAAAAAAAAAGCCTGTTGAATTCTTAAAAATTCTTCAGAATCCCAATAAAAAACACAGCATATTAAGTAAAGGGATAGAGACAGGTTGAGGCAATTTAGGGCAAAATGTACAATAACCGGGAAGACCTCACAATATGCATTTCCAAGACAGAAGACAGGACCAAACCAGGCCCAGAGGGGAAGTGTGTGGTGAAGGCGCACCCTGGGCACTACTGAGTTTCTGGGTGCTCACCTGGGTCAGTGAACACAGTATTCTAGCACTATTTACTTGGTTGCACAAAACATTAACATGCTGGGGAAAGCTGTGGAAGGGCATACCTCTTGCTTCCTCCTGCCATCATTCCCCCATCTGTCCACGTGAGGCGAGCTAATTGACGACAGAGAGAGCACACCGAGGGACCATGGGCGACTCACCTGCAGTCAAGTAGGCATAATAGCACTGGGACCACCTGGACTCGTTTTTTAGCCTCTCAAAGGAATCAAATGCATCCTTGAAATTGAGCTCTATCATGCTGCACCAACCTATGGAAGAAATATTTTTAGCACATGACCCTAAAGTACTGAGCTTTATGACCCATATTTAAGCCACGAGTCTCTTGATACTGTGATCATTCTCTGTGCATGTTCTATGAAATGTGTAAAAAACCTTAACCTGAAAACCTAAGAAATTATTTTTCCCCTTAAATCCTTTCAATGTAAAGTTTGAATTAGACAAGGCACTTAGGTTTGAGTCAGACAACCAATAAAATAGTACAGAAGACCATGGCATAAAGATTTCTAGAAAGACACTCCAATTTACATCCTAACAGTTGTGAGGTTAACCCAAGTACAGAAGTACTGCTCCAAGAGTACACACAGGTGCAATAAGAAACAGTGGAAGCAACACTATTCGATTATGTACTTAATGACTACTACTCATTCTTTTTTTTTTTTTTTTTTTTTTTTTTTGAGACAGAGTCTTGCTCTGTCGCCCAGGTTGAAGTGCAATGGTGTGATCTCGGCTCACTGCTCCCTGGGTTCAAGCAATTCTCCTGCCTCAGCCTCCCAAGTAGCTGGGATTACAAGCACCTGTCACCATGCCCGGCTAATTTTTGTATTTTTAGTAGAGGTGAGGTTTCGCCATGTTGACCAGGCTGGTCTTGAACTCCCGACCTCAAGTATCTGCCTGCCTCAGCCTCCCAAAGTGCTGGGATTACAGGTGTGAGCCACCGTGCTCAGCCTACTCATTCTCAAAACCTTGTAAGATCTAGAGCACAAGCCAATGAGAAAATAGGCATTTCCCTACCTTCCCTCAGCACACTGGGAGCGAAAGGCCCACCTTCCTGGATCAAAACAGTTAGGCAGGCATTCTAGTAAGCAACTGCAGCAACTAAAATGTAAAGGATTTTATTCCCACTTTTCATCACGGTGTCCCCCATCTCCTGAGCCTGTAATGTGTGCCAGTGCTGTGGTAGGCACTTCACGTAATGCTCTCTAATCCTTATGACAACCTTGCAAAGGTGGCTAATAGTGTCCTTGTATTAGCAAGGACTAATCCTACGCCTGTAATCCCAGCACTTTGGGAGGCTGAGGTGGGAGGATCGCTTGAGCCCAAGAGATCTAGACCAGCCTGGGCAACATGGTGAAATCCCATCTCTATAAAAAATTAGCCAGGCGTGGTGGTGCATGCCTGTAATTCCAGCTACTTGGGAGACTGGGGTGGGAGGATCACCTGAGCCAGGGAGGTCTGGGCTGCAGTGAGCTGAGACTGTGCCACTGCACTCCAGCCTGGATGACAGAGTGAGACCCTGTCTTTAAAAAAAAAAAATAACTAAGGTATCAAGAGGTATGTTACCTGCTGAAGCCATACAGCTAAGAAGGAAGGAAGAACTGTGGATCAAAATCCAACACACTTTCCTTTAGATGATACTGCCTCCATAAAAAAAAATCTGTTATCAAGTGCATCACTAAGTAATTGTATAAACTGAGACTTGCCATTTAAACTGTGGGAGGAAGAGTGGGTGAGATATACACTTCAGAAAATTCACTGTCAAATTCTATGGGATGTGATGTTGACATTGAGTAAAAATTTGGGCTCTTTTTTGAAACGGAGTCTTGCTCTGTCACCCAGGCTGGAGTGCAGTGGTGTGATCTCAGGTCACTGCAACCTCTGCCTCCTGGGTTCAAGCAATTCTCCTGCCTCAGCCTCCTGAGTAGCTGAGATTACAGGCACCCACCACCACACCTGGCTAATTTTTATATTTTTGGTAAAGATGGGGTTTTACCATGCTGACCTGGCTGGTCTCAAACTCCTGACTTTAATCGATCTGCCCCCCTCAGCCTCCCAAAGAGCTGGGATTACAGGCGTGAGCTACCGTGCCCGGTCTGGGCTGATTATTTTTATCCTAGCATAGATACCGGGGAAAGATTTGAATTAAATGCAAAATAGAGATGGAAGGAAGCACTGACTCAGGAATAAGTCAGGAATAATTCAGGAGTAAGTCAGAAATAACTCAGGAAAAAGTACTAACTCAAGCTTCTGAGCCTGAATCGGAAGCCCGAGTTACTACCACCTCCTGAGTTAACCTTCCTAAGGCCTGAGTTGGATGATTTCTAAGCTTCCTTCTGCTCTAACATCCTATCCTGTCATAGGCCTTGAAATGATGCACCAATAAAAGTCCATCAAAGCTAGAGTTTTTCATTCAAGTTCTTTGAAACACATTTCATTCTATATTATGGCTACTAAGCAGAGCCCCAGCAGAGTGTAGATGACACAGAAACACATTTTCCACTGGATTATACTTCATTTCCTCTTTTTAAACCACAACAGGCATTTAAAACGTAATATTGTTTATTGGGCAGTTCACAATCTTTTGGTTTTCAGTTTTCCTTAAAAGGATTCAGGAAGACAATTGTGTCCACAGCAGGCAAAGCAAGTGGCAGGCAGCACAGGGCCTGACCCCCCCAAACTGACAGGTGTCAGCTGCTTCCCCGAGCATTCTGTCTCCACTTCCCTGTCCCTCTGCAGAAAACTTTTTAAGTCTCAATTTCCCTTTGGAGTCTCGTCACTACCTCATCATTTCTCCTTTCTTTTTGTCTCTGTCATTCCTTTCTTATGTGCTACATTATGTGACCTTGTTGTATTAGCTAAGTGAAACTCTGAAAAGTCTGAGTCCCTTATTTAAAAATTTTTTTGTTTCAATTTCGAAGTTGTGTTTACTCTTCCCAGCACAATGGAGAAACTGTTACAGAAAAAGATTTTGCAATTACAAATGTAATAGGATCAGAGTTTCAGTGCAGTCAGCAAAGACCCATAGCAACAATTTTGGAGGAGAAGGGGGAAAATCTTAGGCAGATAAAGCCTTCCAGGTTTGTTTGTGACTGTCTCTCCAGTAAGGGAGAAGCAGAAGGTGGCAGCTAACATGTATGGAGGGCCTTCCGTGCCAGGTCCCCTGCATGAGGCTTCACACGTCATGTCATCTAAACCTGACAGCTGCTACAAGGGGAGGCACCTTAACTCCAATGGCAACTACGTGGCTAGGAAGGTTTGGGCAACTTGTCCAAGGTCTCAGAGCTAGTTGATGAAAAACATTGGGGCTTGAGTCCAACTATCTCCTGTCTCCTATTTTTCTTCTCAAGTGAACACTGGTGGGAAGGAGTAACAAAGAGCTTTGAATTCTAATGCACAGTCCAATAAGGTATTTCTGGTCATTTAATCAATTCATTTAACATCACCTATTATCCTAAAATCAAAATGCTGTAAAGAAAAAGTGTTATAAAGAAGTAATGAGAACCAGAGAGAGAAGTATCATTGCATGTGCTATGGGAATAATTGAAGTCCTTCTTACTACAGAAGGCATCAAGCATTTTGCAGACACGCATCAAATGGCATGAAAGCTAAAACACTGCATTAATACTACTTCCTAAAAAAGAGGCTGGACAGACATTTCATATTTACCAATTTCATAGAGACAGACATGTTGAATTTCTCTCTGATCTACTGCAAGTTCCAAAGCAGTGTGGAAAGACGTCAAGGCACTGTTGATTTGACACTAAGGAGGAAAGGAAAACAGAATTATCGGCTAAGATCTGTCGATAACATTACAATCATCATAATTCAAAAGCATCTTTTTCCTTCATAGTTATTTTAAACAGGTTAAGCAGTATAGAAGACAGCGGTTTAAAGATTGCTAGGAAAATACTCCGATTTGCCCCCACACAGCTGTGAAATTAACCTAAGCACAGAGAACCTCTCCTTTCTCAGGTGGTAAGGGCTCAGCTGGCACCGCCTTCTCCTTCTGCATTCTCTCATACTTGCAGGATATGTTGGATTTTAATAGTTTGCTAATCTAGCTCCTTTTTACCACATAGGTGTGAAAAGGGAAGGGACTCTATTTCATCCCCCTGGGTGCACCCAGCCCTGGCCCAGAAGTCTCTCAATCACTACTGAGTGAATGCACGAAGCCACTCTCATTAGCCCGGTCCTCAGTGAGCCCTTCACCATACAGTTGACAGTTTGCTTCTATACCCTAGAATGCTGTTCTCCAATTGCTTCTGCTCATCAAATCTCCTCTCCCAACACTTCAGAAATTCTCTGAGGATCCAGATTATATTTCCAACATTTGCATTCACATAACACTGCCTGGGACCCAGCAAACTCTCAAATGTCGGCTCTACTTACTCCCAGTTAAACACATTTCATTTTTTACTCCACTAAAGATCTCGTTCAGGGTCTGCCAACACGATGCCACAAGTACCCGAGAGGAGCAGCTCAAAAGCATCACCAGGATTTGAAGGGTTAGTTTCATCTTAGATAGGCATTGAGAAATGCTAAATGTCATGTATCATTAAAAAATAAATCTTGAACACCCAGACGACCTGACAGCTTATTCTGAACGGTGCGTGCATTTTTTTCTTGCTCTGCTGGTGCCAGGGCTCCTCTCATCACTGCCCTACACTTGCAGGGAGGTGGACTTCCCTCCCCTGGGCTTCCAGGTGTGCCTCCTGCTGCTTCTCTATGCTTCCTCCCTCTCCAACACTCCCAACTGCCCCTTCTGTCCACAGCCAGCCAGGTGGGGCGGAAGGGTCCTGGAGGAGAAGCTGCAGGCTTCTCAGAGGACAGGTCCCCCACCCGCAGACCTGGGCTCCTTTCCTCGGCACGTCACTGCAGGAGGCCTCGGGGAAACAAGGGCACTGATGAGTCAGCAGGTGATCCTCAGGACAGCCTGTGACTCAGGAACACTGTAAGCCACATGACTCATTAACCAAGGCCCAGCTGGATCAATAACTGCTCAGGCCCCAAAGTAACACTCTCCTCTGTTGTCAGGAAGGTTGAAACCGCAGCATTCAATCCATTATCACTGTTTATGAATGCTGACCAGGTAGCCACAGAAGACACGTACCACCGCATCCCTGATTCCTGTTCTCAGTAACTTAACGTCCACTTGGAGGAAACCTCACAGCAATGGGAATCGCCCATAGCTCGGAAGGCAGGCATTGACACTGACTGTTAGCACACAGCCCAAATACAAAACATCAGGGTTGAAAACAAGAAAAAGCAATCCTTTATGACGCAGGAACGTGTGCATGAGCGCGTGTGGAGGTATCTTGACACTCATGTCACACCCCAATTTTAATTTTTCCCTTTTGGGGTCAACAGTTCTTCTCCTGAATCAGATATGCACTCCATTTAGCATATTTATACAGAAACCACAGCATTACGGGTTCAGCTTTGCACACCTCTCTCACTTTGCTAAATTAATGACATAGTTCTCACATACAGAATGTTTCTAGATGGGGCATCACCACCGAGCCGTCCCCTGCTGTCCCCCACAGTACATGACAGTGCAATAGCACGCTGCCCTTCAGAGAACAGAAAATTAATCAGGAAACATTTACTGGGCAACCGCTATGTGCCAGGGACAGGCTCTGGAGATAAAAAGATGAGTCCAAACAAAGCTTTGAATCCCAGTAAAGGAAAAAGAAATCCAGGTAGTATTTCAATCAAATTATTTCTCTTAACCCTTTCAAACTCTCCGAGGTAGGCATGTATTAATTCCATTTGCATATGAAGAAAGTAAAGTTCAAAGAAGTTAAGGAGCTTGGTCAAGGTCAACAAGGTAACAACTGACTAGTAATCAAAATTCTGCCTCAACTGCCTCTAAAGTGTGCTTTCTTCGGGGAGCGTGTACGCAGACGTGGTTGGGGAGTGTGTACGCAGACATGGTTGGGGAGCCTGTACGCAGACGTGGTTAACTCAAGGATCCTGAGATGTGAGAGACTATCCTGGATTAGCCAGGTTGGCCCTAAATACAATCACATGTATCCTTCAAAGTGACACACATAGAAGAGAAGGGGACACTGTCAACTGTGCAGGCAGAGCCTGGAGTGATGCTGCCACAAGTCAAGGAAGGCCAGCAGCCACCAGAGGCTGGAAGAAGCAAGGCAGGGTTCTCCCCGCAGCCTCCAGAAGGCGTGAAAGCACTGACTGAGGCCAGGTTGTGGAGCTCAATGGCATTACGCCAAGAGTAAGCAGAACTACAGAATTCATTCTAGTTCTATCCTGATCACTGAGTGAGGAATTATGACGAACAACCATTAGCACAGTTGAAATAGATTTTCCCTTATTTCTCATATATATATATAATTTAAAGACAGGGTCTAGCTCTGCCTCCCAGGCTGGAGTGCAGTGGTGCATTCATGGCTCACTGCTGCCTCAATCTCCCAGGCTCAAGCAATACTCCCATCTCAACCTCCTAAGTAGCTGGGACTACAGGCATGCGCAGCTGTGTATGGCTAAAGTTTTTTTTTAATTTATATTTTGTAGACCCGGGTCTCACTACATTGCCCAGGCTGGTCCCAAACTCCTGGGCTCAGGTGATCCTCCCACCTCGGCTTCCCAAAGTCCTGGGATTACAAGCATAAGCCACCATGCCCATTCTCACTAAAAAAATTTAAAAGAAAAAAATGATCTGTGAGATTTTTTTTTTTTTTTTTTTTTTTTTTTGAGACAAAGTCTCGCTCTGTCGCCCAGGCTGCAGTCAGCGGCGTGATCTCGGCTCACTGCAACCTCCGCCTCCTAGGTTCAAGCGATTCTCCTGCCTCAGCCTCCCGAGTAGCTGGGACTACAGGCATGCACCACTGCGCCAGGCTAATTTTTATATTTTTACTAGAGATGGGGTTTCACCACATTGGCCAGGCTGGTCTCAAACACCTGACCTTGTGACCCGCCCACCTTGGCCTCACAAAGTGCTGGGATTACAGGTGTGAGCCCCCGTGCCCAGCCCATGGTGGATATCTTAATTTGTCATCATAAAAACTCTCACAGAGGCTGGGCGTGGTGGCTCACGAGGTCAGGAGATTGACACCAGCCTGGCTAACATGGTGAAACCCCATCTCTACTAAAAATACAAAAAATTAGCCGGGTGTGGTGGCACGTGTCTGTAGTCCCAGCTACTCAGGAGGCTGAGGCAGGAGAATCACTTGAACCTGAGAGGTGGAGGTTGCAGTGAGCCAAGATCGCGCCACTGCACTCCAGCCTGGGTGACAGAGCGAGACTTTGTCTCAAAAAAAAATAAGTCTTTCTCTAGTCCACCATGGACCAGAGAAAGAATTATCTTCAACTGGATACTTGATTCACAGTTCAATTTTAAAGAAATACAGATACTCTGACCTCAAAAGCATTTGCTTTAAAATGGGCTGGTATAAAAAGCCACTAGGCCAGGACTGACTTAGTGCCATCTAGGCTTTTGCCTCATTAATTATACCTGGACACACTGTGTCACAAAAACCACTCCAAGCCTCAGTTTCCTCACTAGTAAAATGAGAAACAATATTGGCTAGCTGTATCTGCTTCCAGCAAAAGCCGGGAAGAACACAAAGCACAAACCTTTGCCAAATTAAGTAGGGCATATTTATTGACAAATTCACATCAGCATAATCTGCTGCCATGGCATTGTTACTAAAGATGGAGCATATTTTTCCAGTTATTCGAGCCTGTCCTCTTACCGGTATATTCCTAGATATTTTCTAGTTCTTCTAGCAACTCTAAAAGGTATTCATTGCCCCATTTTATTCTCTAAGTGAGTGTTGCTGGTATGTGGGAAAACTCTGGGTTTTGGCAAGTTGATTTTGTGTATGACACAATATCATCCTCTTAGGAGTTCTCTCATATATATATATATATATATATATTTTTTTTTTTTTAATTTCCTTGGATTTTCCATGGAGGCATTAAAATAATTTGCAAGTGACAGTACTGTCTCTTCTTCCAGAACAAATTTGTTTGTTAATTGGCTAGAAGCACCAGTTAAAATACTGAATTATAACAGCACGCTGCATTGCTGTCTTTAATGAGGCCACCATTAAATATGGTTTCACCATTAAATAGGGCTTGCTGCAAGTAGATGCCATTTTTTACTAAATAAGAAATTTCCTTCCCATTTATACCTTACTAACAGTTTTTTTTTTAAATTTGGACCAAGTAGTACATTTTATTAAATGCCATTGATAGGACCGTATGGTTTTATCAATTATATTTCCTTAATGCAGGGAATAACAGGAACACATTACCTGAGGCTGAACCACACTGCCTTTTTGGAATAAGTCCTACCAGGTCATAGTATAGCATTTTAAAATTACAATGTTGGATTTAATTTGCTATCATTTAAATTTTTTTTTTTTTTTTTTTTTAGACAGAGTCTTACTCTGTTGCGCAGGCTTGAGCGCAGAGGCGTGATCTCGGCTCAGCTCACTGCAATCTCTGCCTCCTGGGTTCAAGTGATTCCCGTGCCTTAGCCTCCTGATTAGCTGGGATTACAGGTGTGCACCACCAGACCCTGCTAATTTTTTGGATTTTTACTAGAGACAGGGTTTCACCATGTTGGCCAGGCTGGTCTTGAACTCCCGACCTCAGGTGATCCTCCTGCTTCAGCCTGCCAAAGTGCTGGGATTACGGGCATGAGCCACTGCATCCGGCTTGTTTAGAATTTCGATATTGGGAATGCACGACCAAACATTTTTCATTCAGTGCTTTACTCTTTGGTTATCAGGA